TTAGTTGTTCACTGTCTGCCTTCCTCATTAGAATGTGAACTCCTTGCCGCCAGAGATTTCATCTGGTTCACCAATACACACCCAATGTCTGAAACATAGGTGCTCAATAAATATATTTTTTAATTAAAAATTTTTTATTAATCCTCACCTGAGGATATTTTTACATTGATTTTTCTTTTTGAGAGAGAGAGAGTGGAAGGGAGGGGGAGAGACAGAGAGAGAAACATTGATGTGAGAGAGACACATCAATTGGTTGCCTCCCACACACTCCCTGACCTGGGCTTGGGGGGGGGGGGGCGGTGTCAAGCCTGCAATGGAGGTATGTGTCCTTGATGGGAATCAAATCTGCGACCTTTCAATCTATGGGCTGATGCTCTATCCACTGAGCCAAATTGGCTAAGGCTCAATAAATCTTTTTTTATTGAATTCATTTTGAAAGGAAAACTTGTTATAATTCAGAGGAGAACCAATGTACTGAGGGAGCCATATAGCACACTTCCATTTTTGCTCATAAAATTTCTGAATTTGTATCCATCCTCTTTTATGTGAACCACAAAATGAAATAAATGAGAGAAATTACAGCTATGTCCTAAGCAACTTGGAAAGGAAAACCTGTTTCTTCTATTCCTTACAATCCAGAATGGTTTAATCTTCCTTCATAGTGTTCCTGGAAGTTTTCTCCCCCTATGTCTCATCATTAGAGTTCAATGGTTAAAAAATAGCCCTAGCCAGTTTGGCTCAGTTGATAGAGCGTTGGCCTGCAGACTAAAGGGTCCCAGGTTCGATTCCAGTCAAGGGCACATGCCTGGGTTGTGGGCTCGATCCCCAGTAGGGGGTGTGTAGGAGGCAGACGATCAATGATTCTTTTTCATCATTGATGTTTCTATCTCTCCCTCCCTCTCCCTTCCTCTCTGGAATCAATAAAAATATATTTTAAAAAAATGACATCGAGCAGACCCTCAACCCTCAGAGGGATGGCAGCGGAGGGTGAGGGTTGGGGTAAGAGATCAACCAAGGACTTGTATGCATGCATATAAGCATAACCAATGGATACAGACAATAGGGGGGTGAAGGCCTGTGCTGAGGGGTAGGGGAGGGCTGGGAGAGATCAATGGGGGGAAAAGGAGACATACGTAATACTTTCAACACTATTAAATTTTAAAAATAATAATGACAGGAGGGAATGGAGGTGAACTGGTAAAGATACAGACAACCCAACTGAGGTTACAATTGGCCACAGAACATTCCCTGGTACTCTCCACCATCCTAACAAAGAGATTTCTTTCGCCCCTGACAAAGAAGAGCTCAGAGTTTTGTATTGCAAGAACATTCCTGTTCACCCTGAAACTTTGGGTAAAAAACAAATTTACAAAGGAATAAACCAAGGAACATAAAATGGCAAAAGAGAGTCTCCTTACTCCTGAGTCCTACCCCAGATGGTGAGATAGTGAGTGAGGTAATATTAGTTTGGACCAAAGAACACAGGGTGACTCAGCTACATTCCAGAGAATGGCATTTCCTGAGTACAAGTGCTTCCTAGGACCAGGCAATAGAGGCCTTATCAGACCGACTAGAGAAGAGGAACTGATGTCCCCAACCTCACCCCATCCAAATCATACATTCCAAAGTCTTCATTCTACACCGCAGGCACATTTAGTCTTCCCTGGAATGCAGTCTACAGACCTAAGTGCACTTGAGTCCTGAGACATCTTGTCCATGTTATTAGGCTGCCCAAGACAACCCTGCTAAGTGCCTAGAGCAGCCGTGGGCAAACTACTGCCCGCGGGCCGGATCCGGCCCGTTTGAAATGAATAAAACTAAAAAAAAAAAAAAAAGACCGTACCCTTTTATGTAATGATGTTTACTTTGAATTTATATTAGTTCACACAAACACTCCATCCATGCTTTTGTTCTGGCCCTCCGGTCCAGTTTAAGAACCCATTATGGCCCTCGAGTCAAAAAGTTTGCCCACCTCTGGCCTAGAGTCATCTCACTCTTATTCATTGATAGCATTACTCCTCTAAAAATCCTATATAATAAAACCCTACTATGCAAATAGACCAAAGGGCGGCACGACCGGCAGAATGACTGGTTGCTATGACATGCACTGACCACCAGGGGGCAGACACTCAATGCAAGAGCTGCCCCCCGGGTGGTCAGTGAGCTCCCACAGGGGGAGTGCTGCTCAGCCAGAAGCCAGACTTAAGGCTGGTGAGTGCAGCAGCGGTGGTGGGAGCCTCTCCCACCTCCGTGGCAGCAGTAGTGCTAAGGAGCAGCGAGCTGAATGGTAAGGAGCAGCGAGCAGGTGGGTGGTAAGGAGTGAGGGGTCCCAGACTGTAAGAGGGCACAGGCCAGGCGGCTCCCCCCCCCCCCCCGACCAGTGCACAAATTTTGTGCACTGGGCCTCTAGTTGAATTAATAAAGGACTCTTGAAGACGTTGAAGAATTTTCAAACCTAAGGAATGAATTGCTGAGAATAAAGTTGGGGGAGACACAGTTCAGTGTTGGGGCCCGCCCAGCATCCCAGTATGCAGGTCACTCACTGACTTGTTAGTGCAAACAGTTAATCCCAGGGAATCAACCACCAGAAACCAGCACAACGTGTCAGTAGATCCTTTTCGACCTTTATCCCAGGCAAATGTGTGGTGCTGGTGGATGTCAAGGAATGGGAAGGAGTTGAAATATTCCACTAAAACAGAGTCTAATTGAAGCCAGGATCTGGTGGTCCAGAACTTGATAAATGGAATCATACTATAGTTTGATTTTCATTCCATGTTTATCATTTTTATCAAATTATCATATATATATATATTTTATTGATTTCAGAGAGGAAGGGGGATGGAGAGAGATAGAAACATCAATGATGAGAGAGAATCATCGATTGACTGCTTCCTGCACGCCCCCTACTGGGGATTAAGCCTGCGACCCGAATGGGAATTGACTGGGAATAGAACCGTGACTTCCTGGTTCATAGGTCCTTTTGGCATAATGGAAACTGAGGGAGAAACAGAACACAAGGGTTTGATTCCTGTGGTTCTGCTGTCTAAAAGTGAGTCTTGGGCAAGTTTTCTAAGTCTTATTCCTTTCCTGGGGCTGTCATAACAAAATACCACAAACTGGGTGGCTTACAGAAGAGAAATGTATTGTCTCAAAGATGTAGAGGCTAGAATTCCAAGATCAAGGTGTTGGCAGGGTTGGTTCCTTCTGAGGGCTGTGAGGAGGGATCTGTTTGGGGTCTCTCTCCTAGCTTCTAGTGTTCTGTGGGCAATTCTTGGCATTCCTTAGCTTGTAGATGCATTACCCCATTCTCAGCCCTCATGCTCACGTGGTATTCTACCTGTATGTCTCCCTCTGTGTCCAAATTTCCCCTTTTAATAAGGACATATACTCATATTGGATTAGGGCCCACCTTACTGATCTCATTTTAACTTGATTACCTCGATGAAAGCCCTATCTCCAAACAAGATCATCTTCTGGGGTACTGGAGGTTAGGACTTTAACAAATGAAGTGGGTCAGACACAACCCATAGCACATAGCTGGTTTCCTCAGCTGTAAATGGGGTTCGTGATACAATTCTTCCTCATACTATTGTAGTGGTTGTGAAAGTGCCTCAAAGAGGCTTGGTTCATAGAAAACCGGAGGATACCTGGTTTGTCTGAATGTGCACTTGCCTTGGTGGTGTTTGGACCAGACTGTGTCCCTAGGGAGCAGGGCTCTGGTGGGTACTCACGCTGTGAGTGTCCACCACATGCGAGCAGGTGCTTGACCAAAGCATTTTGATGATGGTGAAGACAAAAGGCCAGAGAGAAAAATCTGAAGACAGATGAGCCAGCACTATAAAAAATCTGATACTAGTTATGGGTGAGGAAGTGGAGCCCCAGGACACTCCATACACTGCTGACTGAAGTGAACACTTATATAAATATTTTGGAGGGTGATTTGGCATTATGCATAAATGGGGAAGCAATTCCACTCTTAGGTATATATTCTAGAGAAATGCTTATACATGTCCCCAGGAAAGATGTGCAAAAACGTTCATAGCAGCATTGGTTGGAAAAAAAAAAAGAAAGGAAAAAGAAAACCTAGATTTTCTAAATATGACGTTTATATAGAGGAATACTACACAGCTGTTAAAGTGAATGAACCAGAGCAATGTGTATCTCATGGATGAATCTCACTAGTAAAATATTGAGCAAAAAAAGACAAGTTGCAGAAGAATATATGCAATGGGTCAGGCAAAACTAAATGCTGTATTGCTCAGGATACATACACAGTTATATATATAAAGAATATAAAGACAAGTGTGGGAACTGCAAACACCAAATTCAGGAGGGATGTCGTACAGGAAGAAGGAAAAGTATAAGCGGAACTTCAGCTATATTTGTAGCATTTTTTTAAAAGGAGGTCCACAAGTAAGGTGTATCAGTTCTTCTTTATAACTTTCTGCTTATTTGAATTATGACATTTTTTTTTTTTTTAAAGCCAGGACTGGAGGAGCCTTACATAAAACAGAGGGAGAAGCTGGGCCGACTTGTGAGAAGATTCAGAGTTGCTCTTGCCACCCCTGGAGCCCAAACCTCAGACCCCAGACCCCAGACCCCAGACCCCAGAGTAATGGAAACTGATGAGCCACACTGAAAGGCTGAGCCCAGAAAGGTCTCCTGTTGAGGGGAGGGAAGGAAGGGAGGACATTTTGATGCTGCCTCCTCTGGTTCTGAACCTAGTTCTTGGCCTGCACCCCAATCCCTGGGCTACAAGAACCCCAGGTGGAGGAGATGGGGGTAGGGGGTGGTGGAGGGCTGCAGAGCATTCCAGTACCCAGGCCCATGGATGCACATGCCTGCATGTCTCACTCACATCAAGCACACCCATGCAGGCTGCCACCCCCACTCACACACTGCCTTTCAAACAAGCTGGATTGGCCACCCGGACAGTCCACAGCACATTTACAGCCCTTTACGCATGCACACACACCCCTTCCACCGCCCACCGTGGCCAGAACCCCAGAACTGGAGCTGCTGCAGAGCCGGCCGGCCGGTGGCAGGCCCCCAGCGACCTCTACAGCGCTGCGTTTTTCCAGCAGAGTCTCACTCCCTCTACCGTTTTCTCTGGGAATTGGTGTCTGACGCGGCTGCTCTGCACATTATTTATTTATTTCCTCTTCCTCCCGCCCAGACCCTCCTGTCAGGAGAGCTGCAGCCCAAACGGAGACAGGCAGGAAGCTACCGGGACACAGGAGGCAGAGGACGGAAGGAGGACCTCTCAGAAGCCCCCACCCAGTACATCAAGCTCATCAAGTCTCCCAGTGGCCATGAGCACCAGGCAGGAGACCAGAAGAGAGGGGGGAGACTCCAGCAGGAGGGGACAGGGGGCAGAGCTTCGGGACCGAGCCCACCTGAGCCAGCAGCGCCGGCTCAAACAGGCCACCCAGTTCCTGCACAAGGACTCTGCTGACCTGCTGCCCCTGGACAGCCTCAAGAGGCTGGGCACCTCCAAGGACTTGGTGAGGAAGCCCTCTCCCCTTCCCCAGACCCCCCCCCCCAAGACCTCTGGCCCTTCCTCTCCACCTCTCCACCCCCTATCCTGAGGGTGGGAGTGATGACATTTAACTGGGGATCCTAAGCCTTCATATTCCCCTCCCTCACTGAGAGTGGGAACAGGCAGTCCTGCCAACTTGAGGGGCTTCCCCTGATCATTCTCAGCTCTTCATCGGGAATATTCCCATGACTTGTGGCTCCGAGGGACCCGATTCTCATTGCTCAGCTTTTCCCCCCAAACCCAAGGCTTATCTTGGAGTGAGCTCTGCTGTTTGGGAGTAGAGGTTTTTAGGGGCACGGAGGCTCTGGAGCAGTTGATTACAGCAGGAGGGCCTGGAGGATTGGCCAGTTTAGGGTTATGATTTCCTTCCTCTCCCTAAACCAGAGTCCCTCATACCAGCTCTGGCCACTCATTTGCTTTCTCCCCTCAGAATGAAGCATTAAAGCCCTCCATCCTTGCCAAATCACCAGGATTTCTAATGGCGCCTGCCAGGCCACCTGGCCTCCTGAGGGCCCCCTTCCTCCCTCTGAGCCTCCCTCCAGGCTCCTTTCCTCCCATCTTCCTGCAGCAGCTTTGGCCTCCAGAGGGAATGGGGTGGGGGAGTAACCGTGGGAGGTGAGTGGTCAGGGGACCTGCATGTGTGCATTCCCCTCAGAGAGAGTGGTGAGGAGCATGGGCTTTGAAGCCACGCTGCTTAGATTCAGATTCTGCTCTGCTACTTGGGCAAGTTACTTTATGTGTCTGCCTCAGTTTCTTGACCTATTAAATGAGGATAAAATTAACAATACCTACCTCATAGGGTTGTTGCAAGAGTTAACATGAGCTGATACCCATAAAAGACTTAGAACAGTACCTGAGTGAGAGAAAGCAATATGTACCAGTAATTGCTAATTATTATTATTCCTTCAGCCACTATTTATTCCACTCAGCCTGGGAGAAAGGAAGCTCTGTAGGAGCCAGAGAACCTGGCATCATATCTGGCCTCTTGGTCATAAAAGAAAGGAAGGCTTTTGTACAAAGGTTTGGGAGCACTCTGTTCACTCTCCTGTCTCCGAGTCAGAGGGTCTGAGAGGAGAGTGGGTACTCCTGCAACCTGAAAGGCACAAAGGCATTTCTGGGGGCCTCAGGCCATTCCGGCAGCTCCGACTTTCCATATGCCTCCCAGCCAAATGTTCCCCCTCCAGAACCTTGCCCAGAGGCCAGCAACCCCCCACCCAACAGCCTCCCAAAAGGAAAATTGATCCGATTAAGATTTCAATTGAGAGAACCTCCTCTTCGCAAGCATAGCAAGCACAGCTGAGAAACCATGGACAGTGAAGCAGGTTCTTTGCTCCCAGTGGCTAGGACCTTTCAGCCTCTACCCTTTGGGGACCATCGATTTGGCCCTGGAGAAGGGCCATCCCCATGGGAAAGGTGGGAGGAGAGCTGGGAACTGCAGAGCTGCTCTTTCTGGCCAGTCCCAGAGCTTGCTGCCCTTTTCCCAGAGTTGGGTCTCCTGCTGGCAGCCTTGCTGGCGGGAGCAGCCTCAAGGGCCTCATTAGGCCATGGGTGGAAAAACAATCCCAGGCTCCCAAGGAGAGAGGGCAGGTGGAGAAGCATGTGTGGAGCCCGGAAGGAGACAGTATTCTTCAGCAAGTATATGCTGGGCTAAGCCCAGCAAAACAGAAAAATGAATGAGATACAGTCCTGACCTCAAGCACTCTCCAAGTTAATGGGAGAGTGAAATTCACAAAGAACATCTGTGAGAAGCATGACAAAGGGGACTACCCAGCCTTGTGTGTGGAGGGAAGAGCACAAAGAGGTCAGAGAGAGCTCCCTGGAGAAGGTAAACCTGCACTAATTACCAGATGCACATGGAACCCCAGACGTTTCTCCTGAATAGTTTAGTTCTTGAGCAAAGTGTGTTGAGCTAGTCATCCAGGTCCCAGAATAGGGGAGAGCAGAAGCCAAGGCCCGGAGGTGGAAAAACAGCCTGTGCAAGCAGTGTAAGTAGGGTGGCTGGGCC